GACCCTATCTCTTACCATACACAACAATAAACTCAAAATGGATCAGTCATAAGTGTAAGACCCAGACTCTGAAATTTCTAGAAGGAAACATGGTGGAAATACTTCAGGATATTGGTCTGAACAGATGTTTTATGGTTAAGACCTCAAAAACATAGGCAATAAGATAAAAACTAAAGAAACGGGATTATATCAAACTGAAAAGTTTCTGCACAACAAAAGAAACAACAGTGTGAATAGACAACAAAAGAATGGAACAAAACATTGGTAAGCTATTCATTTGATAGGGATTAATATCCAGAATATACAAGGAACTCGAACAAGTCAATAGCAAGAAACAAATAATCTGATTTTAAAATGGGTGAAGCATCTGAATAGGCATTTCTCAAAATAAGACACCCAAATGGCCAAAAAGTAAATGTTAAAATGGCCAGCATCACTAATCATCATGGAAATGCAAATCCAAACCACAATGAGAGTCATCTCACCTCAGTTAGATTGGCTATTATCAAAAAGACAAAAAACACGTGCTGGTGAGGATGCAGAAAAAGGGACCTCTTACATCTGTTGATGGGAATGTAAATTTGTACAGTCATTATGGAAACTAGAGTGGAAGTTTCTCAAAAAGCTAAAAATAGAACTCTCATAGGATCTAGCAATCCCAGTACTGTTTATATATCCAAAGGAAAAGAAATCAGCATGTCAAAGAGATATCTGCTCTCCCTGTTTATTGCAGCACTATTCACAATAACCTAGATGTGGACTCAGCCTACGTGTCCAACAGCAGATGAATGGATAGAGAGAATGTGGTATATTTACAGGATGAAATACTATTCAGGCATAAAAAATGAAATTCTGTCATTTGTGTCAACACGGTGTTCCCAGGGGACATTATATTAAGTGAAATGAGCCAGGCATAGAAAGATAAATACTGCATAGTCTCACTTTTATATGGAAGCTAAAATAGTTGATCTCTTAGATGTGGGCAGTGGAATAGTGGTTACTAGAGGCTGGGAAGAGTGAGAGGTAGGGAAGCACAGGAGAGATTGGTTAATGAGTCCAAATTACAGGTAGATAGGAGAAATAAGTTCTATTGTTCTATAGCATGTAGGGTAACTATAGTAAACAATAATTTATTGCATTTTTTAAGTACCTAAGAGAGAGGATATTTGAATGTTACCAACGCAAAGAAATAATAAAAATTGGAGGTGTTGGATATCCTGATCACCCTGATTTGATAACAGCATGTTGTATACATATATTGAATTATCACATCATAACCCATAAGTATGTACAATTATACGTTAGTTAATATATATGTGCATATATACATATATTTATACAACACACACACACACACACATGCACACACACACAATAAGTAACATAAAAGAAGGAAATCTTGCCATTTTCAACAATATGTATGGAGCTGGAGGACATTACTGTAACCCAAGTGAGTAAGACAGAAATATCTGCCTGATCTCATTTGTATGTGGAACTAAAATAGTCAAATTCATAGGAGCAAATTAGAATGGTGGTTGCTAGGGAATGGAGGCAGAGGAAAATGGGGTGATGTTGGTAAAAGAATACAAAATTTGGCCAGGTGCAGTGGCTCATGCCTGTAATCCCAGCACTTGGGGAAGCCAAAGTGGGCGGATCACAAGGTCAAGAGATGGAAAACATCCTGGCCAACATGGTGAAACCCCGTCCCTACTAAAAAATACAAACATTAGCTGGGTATGGTGGTGCATGCTGTAGTACCAGCTACTCGGGAGGCTGAGGCAGGAGAATCACTTGAACCCGAGAGGCAGAGGTTGTGGTGAGCTGAGATTGCACCACTTCACTCCAGACTGGTGACAGAGTGAGACATCATCTCAAAAAAAAAAAAAAAAAAAAGTACAGAATTTTAGCTAGGCAGCATGAATAAGTTCTGGAGCTCTAACATACAGCATGGTCACAATATTTAACAATGCTGTATTGTATACTTGAAATTTGCTCACACACACGTAGTTATGCAGAGGTAATGGCTATTTCAATTACCTTAATTGCGTCAATTATTTCAACCTATGTAGGTTCATCAAAACATCAAATTGTATACCATATATACACACATACACATGAGTACACACAATTTTTATGTCAATGATATCTCAATAAAGATGTTAAAAGAAAATGTGTTACGTACATAAAATGAAATGCTGTTAAGCTTAAAAAAGAAGGAAATTCTTCAATATATGACAAAATAGATAAAACTTGAGGACATTATACAAGTGAAATAAGCCAGTTACATAAAGACAAATATTGCAATATTCTACTTATATGAGGTATTCAGAATACTCAAATTCATAGAATTGAAGAGTATCATTGTGGTTATAGGGCTTTGGGGGAGGAAGAAATGGGGAGTTACTAGTCAATGGCCATAAAGCTTTATTCAAACAAGGTGAATAAGCTATAGATATCTGCTGTACGATATTTTACTTGTAGTCAACAATAATGTATAGTACACTTTAAAAAGAATTAGGGGCCCGTCTCTACTAAAAATACAAAAAATTAGCTGGGCATGGTGGCGCGTGCCTGTAATCCCAGCTACTCAGGAGGCTGGGGCAGGAGACTTGCCTGAACCTAGGAGGCGGAGGTTGCGGTGAGCCGAGATCGCGCCATTGCACTCCAGCCTGGGCAACAAGAGCGAAACTCCGTCTCAAAAAAAAAAAAAAAAAGAATTAGGGAACTTGTAGGTCCATTGAGATTATCCAGCCTGAAGAACAGAATGAAGAAAATGAAGAGAGTGTCAGGGATCTATGGGACACCATCTAGTGTATCAATACACATATATTGAGAGTCCCAAGAAGAGGAGAGACAGAAAGGGGCAGAAAGAATCTCTGAAGAAATTAATGGCCATAAATGTCCCAAAGATTTTGGAAAACGTTAACCTACGCATCCAAGAAGCTTAGTGCACTCCAAGGTGGGTAAACTCAAAAAGACCCACATTGAGACATGTCATTATCAAACTATCAAAAACTAAAGACATGAGGACAGTTTTGAAAACAGCAAAAGAAAAACGACTTATCATCGACATGGGATCTGCAACAAAGTTATCAGCTGATTTTTCATCAGAAACCAGGGAGGCCAGAAGGCAATGGAACGGCATGTTCAAAGGTTGAAATAAGAATTCTGTATCCAGCAGAAATCACAAGAGCAGCACTTGCTGTTACCTCCATGCAATCCTCTTCTCCCGGTGTCTGTGTGCCCCTTTCTTCCTCTCCCTTCCTTCAGGAGACCCCTGACCAATCCTAGTTGACCATACCCATAGCTCCACATCTGACTTCTCTGCTTTTCCATAGTTACACATGTCACCTTTGATGTTCTCTGCATGTCTGCCTCTTCCCTGAATAGAATGGCGTCTTTCTGAGGGCAGTGCGGTTTGTTCAAATCTTTTTATTTTATTTTATTTTTTGAGATGGGGTTGCACTCTGTCTCTCAGGCTGGAGTGCAGAGGCATGCTTCAGCTCACTGCAACCTCTACCTCCCAGGCTCAAGTGATCCTCCCAACTCAGCCCCCTGAGTTGCTGGGACTACAGGCGCATGCCAGCACATCCGGTTAATTTTTGTAGTTTTTGTAGAGATGGGGTTTTGCCATGTGGCCCAGGCTGGTCTCAGACTCCTAGACTAAAGTGATTCACCTGCCTTAGCCTCCTAAAGTGCTGGGATTCCGTAATCCTGTGAGCCACTGTGCCCTGCCATGAATCTTTTATTCACTGCTAAATCCCAAGCACCCAGAACAATGCTAGCACATATAGCCCTCGATAAGTACTTGTTGAATAAACAAGTGGATAAATGAATTAGAATACTTAAAAATTATTATAAATGATTGTAAACAATCACCGAGCTCTTACTAGAGGCAAGGTATGACCTAGGCTCTAGTCTTATTCCCATTTTACATGGTGGACATGCGGAATGGTTGGATAAGTTGCTGTCAATGGTAGAGCTGGATAGTCCCCTTGGAGTCTGAGCTCTGAACCCCGCCCCCCTCATGCCTCTCCAGGCTGGCCCATCTTTGGTGATACCCTATGTTGTGAACAAAGTAGGTCATTTTCCTTTACTTTACATCTATTTCCTGTAGTGGTACTGGGGATGGTCTGGGTTCTGGAAGCCTCAAAGTTAAAGAAAAGCTGAGAACCCTTTGAACGAATGTGAATAAATCACTGGGGCCCTGTGCAGAGATACCTTAAAGCTATTACAAACAAAAATAGGTGATTAATTTTTTAAAAAATATTTTTCAAAGAGCATGTTTTAATATTACAAGAAGAGAAAACAATAGAAAACATCTTTTTAAAGTCTTATTATCTCCAGAAAAGCTGGAAGTTCTGCCCTGTGGGTAGACACTGTGTTGTTTAGGGCTGACCCCAGTGCTATAATAAATAGACACCCAGTACGTAGAGTCTTTCATCAAGACAGTGTGTTTCCTGCTTTCATTGCAGACTGAGGGGGTGGCCCCTTTGCCCAGGAATTTGGGGACTCCTTCCCTTTCCATTGTGAAACACTGACACCATACTCAGGGACTGGGAGTTTCCTGCATTCAGCTAGCAGAAGGGGAAAATAGGGTGTGGAGGGGCCCACATGCTTAAAAGCACATCACTTCTGCCTGGCGCTGCTGGCCGCATCCCAGTCTCGTAACCTCCCCAGAAAGGGGAAGCAGGTCTAGCAGAGTGCAAATGGGCTCTCCCTATGTGGTGTGAGGGGTCAGCATGGGGGATGGTGAGCCTTGAATGGCCTCAGCATTGACTCCCCCAGTGGCCAAGGCCTGGCATCCTGTGGGTTTTCTGAGCCTCAGCCTTCTCATCTGTAAGGTGGGAACCAGGAAGCCTTCATTTCTAGTCTGCATTGAGGAATAAATGGGGTGACTGTTTCTACAGTAACTTGGAGATGTAAATGTCTATACATCTCTAGAGGTTATTTTCTGAGTGGCTGGGAGAAGGGCAGCCTGGCATCCCTTTCTCTTGCAGCATCCTGTTTGCTGACATCGTGGGTTTCACGGGCTTGGCATCCCAGTGCACGGCTCAGGAGCTGGTGAAACTCCTCAATGAGCTCTTCGGCAAGTTCGATGAATTAGCCACGGTAAGTGCAGCATCTTTCTCTGTTTGAATTAAATTAGAATTGCTTCTGGAGTGACGATATGCCAGGTGGATTCCCTGTATTTGGACCATGAACTAAACTGATTGCTAAGCATTTCTTCCAGCAAGGTTATAAATCACCTGTTGTTTTTAGCCTCATCGTTCATTGATTCCTTTCCTTGGACTGAAGCCTTGCATTTACCAGATAAGAAAATGCTTGCACAAGCATGGCCAGCATGCCTTCCGATTGGGGCTTCCATGCAGAAGGCTTCATTATGCAGGCCACACATAGGTATGGGCACCTGGGCACCATCCTGCTGCCATTGTGTCCCGCTGCAGACAGAGCTGGTGGTTGCAACCCCTCGTTCTGCGGCAGCCTCGGTTCTGGGCTCTACTGGAACAGGCCTGAGTCTGGATCTGCAACTCTCCTGGGATTGAAACTTGTCTGCTGGGGGCCCAGTTGTTGAGGCCTCCTGATACCTGGCGCAGACAGTGGCCACCCTTGCCCTCATCAGACTGTGTGCTGGGGTTTTGAAAAACCCTCCTTGGACCAGTCACATCTGGTAGCCAAGTTCTGCTGAAGGTCGGGCCAAGGCCACGCCAACAGCCTTGGTTTGTAACATACGTGTTCAGAAGCAGAGATGAGCAAGCCAGCCAGACCTCCTTGTGCAGAGGTTTGCCCTCCTGGGACTTAGTCACGTTGGCCACAAGGCTCCTGAGGGGCTGCCATTATCCCCCCTTTCTCCCCACAGGATGTGCTGTGTTTAGAGACAGGACATATGGGGCTAGGATCTCAGCTGCAGAAGCCAACAGATGTTGCAGGCCCAGGGAAAGCACATCTATATCCTCCCCTTCCCTTTCCTCTTCTGCCCACAGATAAGTTGTACTACTCATCAGTCACCAGCTCGAAAGCTAGAATGTGCCCTATTCACACATGGTGGAACTTCCCCTCTTGCCATTCACCAGGCACATCCTTCCTGAGATTTTTACTCCTGGCCTGTGCAGGAAGGGTTGGCTTCTGCAGGACAATTGACCATGACCACAGGAAGTCTCCTTTTTCTAAGGCGGAAGGGGAGGAGGGAGTTCTGAGTCAGGGGAGTCCAGGATGTAATCTTTTCAGGGCCACTGACCCACCTGGGTGTCCTTGGACCCCAGACACCCAGCATCCCTGCCATTTGAGAGTGTGGGAGAAGCACAGTGAGATGGAGCCAAGTTCAAGTTCACCTTGTTCAGCCTCACTCTGGGTGGGCAGAGAGGGGTACTGAGGTCAGTGTGAGAGGAAGGGGCAGTGAGCTCTGTTCAGCAAGGCAGCACCTTTCTAGAGGAGGTGACAGTGGAGAGTCTTGGGGAAAAATATGGATGCTCCATCAATGAAGGAGGGGAGAGGGGGACATCCTGGTTGGGGGCTGGCTTGTGCAGAGTCCTGAGGGGCGTTCTGAGCACCGGGTAGGGCTGGACAGGGCAGAGCCAGGTGGTAGTCACACGATCTGAGGCTGGTAAGGTTCGCCATGCCTGGCAGCAGTTTAGGGGTCCCACTGCAGGTGGGAGAAAACTTGGGAGGCTTTTGCAGACACATTGGTAGTGAAAGAGGTTAGGTAGGAAGGCCAGGGGAAAGAGGGTGGGCACCGGGAATTGTGGACACTACTCCCCTTGGAAGATCCCTGTGGGGAAGAAACGGTCTTGAGATCAAGTTGTAAAGTCACTGTTTTCCATGGTTTACTAGAAAAGTGAACAGTGATTTTATCTTTGCAGGCAGTGACACCCCATTGATAGCCTGGGCCAGTGTTCCACAGCAGTCTGTTTGGGAAAGGCCACTTCATCTTTCTGCTGGGCACTGGAGCTGCTGGTCTGCCGCGCCCTTGCAGTCTTGTCTGGGCCGTCTGCTAGGCTTGACCCCTGTACTGCGCAGCCAGTGTTGGGTCCCAGGCCTGCTCCTTGCTTCCCACCCCTTCACCAGGAAGCTGGTCATCCTGGGAGCTTTCCTCTGGAGGCTCCCACTTGGCCTGCCTGGGCCTTTTCTCTCTCACGGTGCTCTGAGCTGTGCTGGGCCCTCCACTCCGACCATCTGATTCTGTCTTCATGGCAGCCCTGAGATCAGCACCTTTGTCCCTGAAGGGACAGGACCCACGGTTGGGTCAGCCCAGGCCCTTTGCAGTCCTGCTGTAGACTTTAGTTCTCCTGTGAGGCAGCTTATTTCAGCCCAGTTGCTTTGCAGTTTCTTCCTTTGATAAAGAAGTGCTGGCTCCTAGGAGAGGCTGAGGGTGTCGTGGAGAGCTGCCTGCTGCTCATGGTGCTGTGCTGTCAGCCTGGTCCCAGGCCTTGGCATCTGCTGTTCCTTTCTAATCTGTGCCACTGTCCAGGGTGTATGGGTGGGGGCTCTCGGCCTGTTTTGAGGCATCATCACATGCTCTCTCATCTCATGTTTCCGTATTCCAAGTGGCTCCTTGAAACCTACCTGACTCTTTTGCCAGGATACTGATTCATGCCTGGGATGCTGGCTTACATATTTTTCTCAAGAAGAGTGCAGACATGTCAGAGTGGGTGATATACATGGTGGAGACGCCTGGTGGGTCAAGTGGAGTGAGAGATGTGTGTGCCTGTACATAACATGTGAGTGTACACATGTGTGAGCATGTGTACACATGTGTGCACTGTGTACACATGAATATGTGAACATGGGTGTGCATTTGTGAAAATGTACATGAGTGAGCTTGTGTGCCTGCAAATGCACATGTATGTTATGTGTGTAGGTATGTTACATGTGAGTGCTTACATGAACACATATGTGTATGTGTGTGTAGGTGAGCATGCATGTGGTATATATGTGAGTATGTATGTACCTATGTGAGTGTGTGCCTGTTCTGCATGTATATGCCTGTGTGTCCCCCTGTGAGTCATCACTTTTGGTTAGGGACATTCTCTTGGAGTCCTTTGGCAGCACAAAGCACAGTCACCTCATGAGAAATGGGGACTGAGCTGACATGATGTCATGTCAGGGCAGTCTGTCCTCGTTTACTTCCCGTGTGTGCACATATGTGTGCATTGCAGACACCTGCTGAAGCACGAGGCCCTGCACTCTGCTATCCACTCTTCCCAGTGACCATGAAGGATTGTGGTGTTATCCCGTGTCCAAGAGAAGGAGACAGGGTCAGGGAGGACCGGCTAATTCCTAGAGGCTTGGTGGATCTGGCCCTACCAGCCCTTAATGTGAGGCTCTCTGCCTGGGGTCAGCTGACTAGGTCTGTGAAGGGCAGATAGTAAACATTTCAGGCTCTGTGGGTTACATATTGTTTCCATTGCAACAACTCAACTCTGCCATTGGAGCATAGAAACAGCCACAAATATGTAAACAAATGGATGTGGCTGGGCCCCAGTCAAACTTTACAAAACAAGGAGTGATCCATGGCCTCAGGGTGCCAGACCCTGCTCTAAACCATGACACCTGAATGGCGTTACATTTAAAGACAACCATATGCCCTGTCTTTGCCGTGTGCCTGCCCAGCAGCTGGGCAGTGGCTGATGTGTTGGTGTCTGGGCGGGTAGAGTGTCCTGGGAGTCAGCCCATGGAGCCCCAAGCTGTGCTGCTGGCCACCTTTGTTCTTGGAGACACTGTATCTGGGTAGCAGGGCTGACAGTGCTGGCAGAGGTTAGGATATCATTACAGCTGCAAGGTGCCTTCATGCAGCCCTTGAATTCTGCCAGCTGAGAGCTCCAGGTGCCCATGAGGATCACGGCAGAGAGAACTGGACCAGCAGTCCCTGCAGCAGCATAAATAGCAGCACCTCCATTAACGACAACTCTTGTGTAAAGTGACTGCTTGGTACCCAGCAACATATGAGTTTGAGCTGAAGAGAGTATTTTCTGGTTTCTAGGAACATTTTGTTGCAAATGGCATCCATTTGGGTGTGAAGCCCTTAACCACCTGGGAGCAGAGGAGAGCTTGATTAGGGATCTTGCTAACCAGGCAGGAAGGGGGACAAGGGCCTTGCCCCAGTGCACTAATGCCACCACAGAGTGACATCCTTGTGGTGCAGAGGGCTCGGCAGTGCGTGGGTGGGGGCACATGTTGACCAGAAGTTGTTTTATAGCACTAGAGGGCCAGAAGGAGTTGCTCCAATGTGAGCAGATGCAGGCATGAGGGGCTGGGCCTGTTTCTTCTCTTGACTCCAGCCCTCAAAATCAGAGTAGAACTTTAGGAGCCTGAGTTGAAAGTCTTGTTTGGCTGCACAGTGCAACATAAGGAGACAGAGGCCAAGTTGGTGCCCTCACAGAAGTCTTTCTAACATCCTGGCCAGGACATGATGTCATCTTCATTCTAAGAGTGAGCAAAATGAAGCTCATGTGGTAAAGCAGCATCCCCAGAGCCACAGCCAGGATTGGAAGCAGTGTCATTATGACTCCAAAACCTGTCTCACTAGAAGAGGAGCACTCCTGTTCAACCTTAAAAGCCCTCAAGGCCATCTTTTCTCCAGGTCTCTGCCCATTGGGCCTCTGACCTTTCACCAGCCTTCTGTGGAATGGGTGCATCCCGTCCAGCTAACGCTACTCACCATCACTGCGTGTGTGGCTTTTTTCCAGGGAGGGGGTGGCCTGTGGACAGCCCATACGCATGTCTGAGTTGGTACTGAGTCCCAGTGCTGACCATGGAGCCTGGCACACAATGGCTATCCCTGCCTGTGTAAGTGGGACAGTGCCATGCCAGTGTGTCCACTCCGATGGCTTCTAGACTTTCAGCCTGTCACCTGAGGCAGGGGGACCTCTGATGGAGCCCACCTATGAGAATGACCAGAGGAGGTGCTGCAGTGGCTTACACTGGGCACCTGTTTGCCAGCAGGAGCCTCATTTGGAGAAGCTGAATTGGGCTGGGAACAGGATCAGTACCTGGGAGAGCTGGCCTTGGGTTTCCTGAGGGCTCAACTTCCTGTGCATGATGGCTGTGAAGAGCACTGGCCATTCCTTACCCTCCCTGTAGCTGTAAACAGGCTCCAGAATCCACGCTGGGGA